TAAAACTTATACTTATTTTCAGTGACTTTTCTTTAATTTTATACACATCCAGGGTGAATCATTTATTATTCATTTATTTAAATCAAAGTAGTTGATATGTCATTCATTAAATTTAACAGTGTCATCAATTCCACTATTTTTCCTTGGATTTAAAAATGCATACTCGTTTTCATATCAATGTACTATCGAATTCATAAAAAACTAAAACAGCAAAACGTGGTAGTTATGTCAACTTTTCAAAAATGTTGTAACATTTCTACTACTTTATGTTAACTGGTTACTAATTTCGTGGTGGTTGGTAAATCTGCAATTTAGGGTCTTTTTCAAAATAAATATAATTAGGAATTTAGGGCTTTAAATACTTAAGAATTCAAATTGTCATAATGACAGACGTTAATATTTGACATTTTCACGTAGCCCAATTTACTCCAACAAAATTTTGCTGTACTAGTTTTTTGCGAATTCTATAGTACAGTGATCGACAGTGAATTTCGTCCACCCAATTTCCTTGAAAGATTAAAAGTGTAAATTAGTCTTTAGGTTTTACTAACCTTGTTTCAGAATTTTGATTAACGTTTGTCATGTTGACAGAAGGCTCGATAATTCTTGCTACTTTTTACCTTTGTCCTTTGAAATGGTAGTCCTTGGTATGCCCAAAAGTATGGAGACACGTCTTTGAGACATACCTTCTTGTATGTACCAAAGAGATAATTTTTATTTTATTAAACGCACTTACTGCTGGCATGTTCGAATTTGATTAAATTTGACAATACGTATTTGAATGTCAGTCAACCTGACAATAAAGCACAAACTACAGTGAATGTTTGTGAATTCACAGAAATTGGGTGGACGAAATTCACTGTCCATCACTGTACTTCAAGTAGGTTGTTAGAAGTCTAAATGCAGCTTTAATTTAAAGGCCAATTCACACAAAGTGTCATAAACGTCATTCAGATCATATTCAGATCAAATTTAATCACATCAATAATGACAAAAATCTTTATGTTTGCTACCCTATGCTAGAGTTCCCATATTTCTAATATAGGAAATCTACTCTATGCTAATTGTTAATTAGCTAATTGTTAATTTTAATTATTTTTTGCCACCGAGGGTACCTACACATTTATTTGAAAAAATAATTTTTAGAGAAGATTGAGGTTAGGATTGTTTGAATTTTCGCATGCTAAAAGAATCCCTTTCACCGATTACTTTAATGCACATTAATATGAAAACGAGTATACTTTTCAACTGACTTTGTTTCATGAAAAAATATGAAAATCGATTCAGGAAATCTATTGTGATTTTGTAAAATTTGTAAACTCCTATTATAATAACCATTTTTTGTCAATGTGAAATACTTTAGAGCAAGTATTAATTCAGGCAACAAGGGATCTGAAAAAGGTCTTTTAAATTTTATTTTTTATCGTTGAGCATTATTATAGTTGGCAAAAATCCCATCGTTCCACAAATCACATTACAATAACATCATAAAAGCGCCGTAACTTCAAATGGAAATTGTAATAAAATCCAAACAAGTTCTGGAGTTCCTGAATACGAAAGAGCGGAAATTGAACGAGCAGATTCCGATAGCAGGTGCTTTCTAATCATAGTATGAAGAAATTGCCGTAAAGGGGTGAAAGCAGCCACGCGCCAGTCAAATTTTCCACTTACCTTTCGGTGTTTCCCGGCGGAACATCCCCTAATGCGGAGACTTTTAATAATTCAAAGTTCCTTTCAAGTTTATAGTATAATATTCAATAAATATGTAGACACCGAAAGCCACACTTAAATTATGTTATATGCTAAAATATGACCAAATCCACATGTGTGAAAGCGGAATATAATTAGATAAATTATTTAAGCCCTCTGTTTTATGGGAGTGGCAAAATTCAATAATTTGAAAAATTGGTTTTTGGCGAATAATTATACGTAACTATAGAAGCATTAATGTAGTAATTAGATCATTTATTATTTGGTACTTATTTTTGAATAGTTTTTTCAAGTCACTCCAAGACATATATACATTTATCAGACATTAGTATGCGGAATGAATTCTAAAGTTAATTGCATTTAGTATTATGCAATTTGATTGTAGTAACATTTTTTCTAGTCGAAAAGTAAAAATAAATAATTAAAAAGGACGTAATCGATGTTTATACTAAAGTCTGGACTATAAGTAAATATTTATGGATAGAGCAATATTTTTCCTTGGCCCTACTAAATTATTTTTCAGTGCATCACCGTTTGAGATCTTTTTTAGGTATTTTAATAAGATATCAGCCAAACCTTTACCAACTCGTATTTTTCTTATCTCGAATTTTTCCCATTTTTGTTAAAATGCGGAAGCTTTGGTTAAGGCATGTATGCAACCATGTATTTAATTTAAGAAACCTACGTTTCACCATCACGTTTTAAATTAATTCCATGACATTAAACTTATAAAGCACTTAGCTATATTTCTCCAAATCTAGTTCGTCCTTCTTCAAAAAAATGGAATTAAAACAAGCTAATTTTAAAAGCTGGGGATGTCAACGTTTCACGAGCACACGTGTTGTTTTACGGCGTTCGCCAGAGATAATTAAAATCTTTTAATTGCGACACACAAAGCGACGTTTGTGTTACAAATAAAATTGCATAACCTCTAATTTTCGTCATTAGTTATAAATTATTCGCAATGTATATCCAACCAGCTTTGTTAAGGACGTATTAATAAAATAAAGGTCACATTGATCGATTTAAATCAAATTTGAAAGCACGTACGTTGCTTGCAATAAATCCGCTTTAAGACCGGTTCAAACAAGCGACATGTTTTAGGGCATCAAATTACTTTTATACGCGAATAAACCACGATGTACTGTTTGTTTTTTAAAACACTGGACGCGATAGGTGAGCTTTAACTTTTTCAATGAAAACAATAAACCCCGACAAGCCATGCATCTTAATAGCTTGGTTGCCAACTTTGTACAAGAAGTAAATACATTTTGTCTTTTATTATTTTAATTTACAGTGAATAAATGTCTGATTCACGCTAAAAAACGTCCACGTCATTCAGTACTGCGATTCCATTACCTTAGATAAGCTAAATAAGTATACAACAGATGTGTAAATTTATCTATCCCTCCGCATACGACAGAATCGTACGATAGTTTTCGACCAATCAAATGTTAGGAATTGTGGGGCTCGACCAATTCCCCTTACTCCCCACCTTAACGTCATCCAAGGTCATCACCTTACGTACCTGTTCATAGAATGCAGCAGTACTAAAACTATCCCGCTAATTACATTATCACCGTTTTTTTTAAGATACAAATTTGGAAAACCACCAAAACATTTGGATTTCCTTAATTGTCAAAAACTTTTCAACCGGAAAGGTTTTTTTATGATTAACTACGAGGAAAATTTGTTTTCGTTTGAGTTCTAGAACATTCGAAGACGACTCGGTTGGTTGTCTCTGTTGCTTCCGTGAATGAACTATCAACAGTAGGTAGGTACTGATACTGATTACTTAGCCGTCTGTGGTGACTAAAAGTGGACAAATCAAGCTGCCAGATTTAATTAGTATTAATATTAATATTTGTTATCTATTATCATTTATCATCTCAGAAAATTTAGTACAAATTAACGGTTCTAGTGATTTCCAATTAGCAGTTTGAAGTTCTCAATTTTTAAGAATTATGACTGCAAAAGCAAAACTATTTTTCGCTTTATTTTCCATTTCGTTTTGTTTGGAAAATGCGATAAAATTTTATTATGAATAAACGAACGTCAGATTTTTAATTCTAAAAATTTAAATAAGCATTTTGTCAAAAAGCAAATAAAAGATAGAGAGTAATTAATTTACAACTTCGAAAATATATATATTAATAAATAAAAAATAAAAAAAATTATAAATAAAATTGAAGTCTCAAACCACCATGGAATAATTTTTATGTTGTTTACTCGCTCGTAATTGGTGGAAAAGTCCCGATAAATAACAATTAAAGATTTTTGTTTATTGGATGTTTGATTATATGATTGTATTATGATTATGAACAATCGCTTGAACGCGTCAAGGATACACAACAGTAAAAAAAGGAAGAAATGAAACGGAATTATGATCCTCGGATGCGGAAATAATATGTACCTACAAAGATGATTTCTCGTGTAAACAAATTTTCGCGATTGTACCGATTTGGCTTCACGTGCGTTGTGACTTCAGTAGCTCTATTTCGGTGTTTGTAAACAAGTCTAAGAAAAAATACGAAAAATGTGAAACACGTAACACTGACGTATTTTCTTGATGCCTTATTATTTCAGTTTCAGCGGGCATAAATTTATCAAAACACGTGTGGGCATAAATCAGCCTACAATAATACCTCCGTAAATTGATTCTTTTGGGCTGATGATTGGTAGCGTGCAAAAAAAAACAAAAATTGAAACACGACCGCGTACTCTATATTGAAAAAGTTTGAGATAATATGAGTGGAATTGTTTGGAGTGAGGAAACTTTCAGCCTTCAGGATTTCCTGACTGGGTGGCATTATTTACCTAATTTTCTTCAGCTGTAAAGTTTCAGATTCGTGTAATTTATTACTAGGGGATGTAAAAATTTGTTTCGACGATGAATCATTCCGGTTGTTCTTATTGTTATTATAAAAAATTGCACAGGTAGTGTCATTTATAACGAAAATATGAAGTTTTTCAACAAAATAAATTGACGCGAATCAATAAAAAGCCCTCAATGTCACGGCACTTCAAAATCAGCTTAATTATAAAGAAAATCGCTTCGAACCATAACTAGATGTCAATTTAAACTTCGTCTTGTTACGAAAATCTTAGTTTCCCGACAACCAATTAAATTAAAAGTGGCATTTCTAACACCATTATAAACTTGAAGAATTGGGATTTAACCCATTGAAAAAAATATCTTGATAAAGTGGCGTTACTTTATTAAATTTCACAGATACCGAACCTGACCAAAAACAACAATAAAAAAAACTTGTTGACATTTCTGAACTCACCTGTTATAAAAAGCGCTGAGAGGACAGCAAAACTGCGTTTGACTTGTTTAAACACGTTATTCATAATAGGCCGGTTGAAGCACGTTGGAATAATTGAATCTCCTAGGGTGCACTTTCGGTTTCGATAGTCACGTGGACGAAGAACTCAACACGAAAGCGACTACACCACCCAACGGTTAAACAGAGACTGATTTTGCAGTAGTAGAATGTGGCGCCAACGTCTACAACTCACTATTTTAATTGAGGGCCACGTAACCTCGTAATGCTCTGTCCCACCTGTGGCATTCACGTGTGTAGAAAAAGAAACGCGAACGTTATCTGTCGCTGTTTTTTGCAGTGGTGGCTAGATCACGCCACTATAGTTGTATAATTGGAATGGTATGAGTTTCAGATTTACATTGCAGGTATTGGATAACTATCATCGTATGATTCTTCGCTGGACGAATTTTCGACACGTTGCATGAGTCTTAAATTTATGAATGCATACATCCGGTAATTATTATCATATGATTAACCAATTGGTGATCAATTATCATAGACAGCGCTGATTGATTTTTGATATAGGTAATCGTTTTAATGGGGGCCTGATCGCCTCGGGTTAATGCAAGGGTATCTTTGGGAGAGTAAGATACCGATTTAGGGCAGTTTTTGGAAAAACTATCAAATGCGTTCTTGAGATAAAGGATCAAACCGAGGTATCATCCACTGCTCACAATACTTGTACAACTCCTTTAGGCAATGCATTACAATACTCTACAAAACAATATTATGCAATACCAAACAATACTTAAAAATAGCCGACATAACTTTAAGACAATTCTTGACAATACTCGGCAATACATACAAGTCTTAAAAATTATTTTTTTAGAAAGTGATTTGCCCAATTTCATTTAACCAAGCAGTGGTAACGACAATTAGTGGATAAGCATTTCACAGTTTTCGGGCCTATAACGCTGCGAAGAAATGTATTTTTTATTATTATTCGTCCCCATACACTTCCAGGTGTCTCAGAGAGTTGGTGAAGTTTATTATTGACCTTTAAATGTTAAAATTTTAAAAACTTTATACCGGGTGGGGCATCGGTTACGCGCACTTGATAAATCGCGACTTCAAATTAATTAAAACTGGCGATATTTCATATACCTAACTAATTATTGATAGGGTATAATTTGAGAAATTTTCTATTTTTTTTTTTTGATAATAAATGAGTCCGTAACAATTTTGTGTGTTTTATGAATACTTTCTGTTAATTTACCTATAAAGTTTTTACACTAAATGAATCTGTACCTGATATCACAATTTCAAATTTTGACTTGGTTAGCCAAATAATTGCTTTTTTTTACTTAAACACAAACCAGACAGGTGATTTATGACAAAATGGTATAATTTGACAGCAAAAGAATTATTTACTGGTAGCCGACCACTTTAAAGGGTCTTTTTGTTGTAAACCTTGGAATCTTACCCCAATTGCAGTTCCCCATTGTCAACTAAATTTACGATGGCACAAGTAGCAGATCATAAATAAAAATGATTTTCAAAGTTAAGATGGAAAATTGCGTTTAATTCAAAATCTAATTGGTATTTTTTTTCTGATTTTGTAAACAATTGTAGTAAGTGATTCTGCGTAGGTCAGTATAAAAATTAGAATTAAATTTTTTGGGAGAAAATTACTTTTTATATTTTTTTTGCCTTGTTTGTGAATGAAAAATTACCAAAAAAAATTACAGAATGTACCTTACTAATGTCCAGATAAGTGTGAAAAAATTCAACAATTTTATTTAATTAGAAGTGGGGATTTTCTTTTTGGGCGTAATGGATGCCCCACCCGGTACTATAGGACATTGATAGATAGGTACTAATCTAGTGCATCGCCTGAAATTATAACTATACAGCGTGTCCCAGAAATAAAGTACAATACAAACTTGTTTTTAAAAATGAAATACCATGTATATTTTCTTAATATTTTTGAATGTAAACTTTTATTGGTAGATTTTGTCTGGTGGTTAAAACAAATTGTTTATTTTTGGCGAAAAATTTCTTCAATTTATTATATGAATAAATTTTGAAAAATTTTAACATTTAAAAATCAGTAATGGTCTTTGCAAACTTGCTGAGACGCCGTGTATAAAAAATGAAATGATGTTTTAGGTCCAAATATTGTATTTTTGTTTTGTTTGGATTTTAGTGTTAAAAGGGACCTGTCTGATCGCGCTTGCGTTAATGCAAGTGTAGGGCCATTTTTGAGACACAAAGTTAAAGCTGATTTGAACACGCGCAAAATTCATTACAATGGCCGTTGGTGAGCTAAATTTGCGAAAGGAACGCAATTAACAATTGTCAGGAAAATTATTTTAGGCCGGCGGCAATTTTAACAACTCACTACTTTAATAATTTTGAAAGTACTCAACCACTTTGAAATAATCCTGTCAGAACAGCTGGTGCCAAGGTGTCGAGGTCAGGTCATCATTTAA